TTTGAAAGTGACGGCTTCCGCCTGTGTCCCGTGATCTCTACCCATTTCCCGTTGGGGAAGTCGTCGCTCGGGTTGTACCTACTCAAGCAGCGTCTCGTAATTTCTCTAAGTACTCTTCGTCGGAGGGGCTGGTAAACGGTCCATGTCGATATGCATGTTGATTGAGTCTTTTGTTGAGAACCACGCTTCTAGGAACTCCCTTTCTCTTCTTGTTACACCTCATGCGAGGACTTCTGTTTCGGTCCAATCAAAGCTGTGTTTTTTTCTCGTCTATGTGTGCTGAGATTAGCGAAGATGCATGCTCTTTTGTGGTCTTGTAATCGTGTTGCTAGTTCTCTACCTGTTTGGCCAAACAGGTAGAGATCACAGGACACAGATCGAAGTCGTCACTTTCGAAAAGTCACCCGCACACAGATCACAGATCGACAATTCAATCAGCGAGATTACAGACCCCATTTCAAAGCACTGATGATGCCACCTCGCATGGCGGTGAAACATTTTCAAACAAATTTCTCAGCACGGTGAACGAGTAAATACATCATAAACTCCAGCTACAAGTTTTCCAAAACATCATAAATAATCTGAAATAGGACTCCGCGATGATTCAGAATTCTCCCGCACCTGATCTGGTCCAGGCAGTTGCAGCACCAATGCCGCAATCTTCTGGGCGGCCTACCCAACCCGACAGAGCGAAGTCCCTACCCTATCCGTGCCGATTCTGCGGTGCCTGGCACTTCCACCGAGACTGCAACTTCCGCCAGCACCAACCATAGTGTTGTGGCAAAGTGGGGCAACATGATGGCTACTGTAATCCTACGACGCACAAGGGGGTCAAATCTGGTCTGCCCCCCACCCGCGGTCAAACAAGGAGGTCAAGATCCAGATGTACGCCAAAAACTGGCCCGGTTGGCAGCTCCATGAGCTTTCTCGCCACCTTCCAAGTCAACGCTGACCGCAGGAAGTTCGTCGACGTCTTGAGCAATGGGCAGCCTGTTCGATTGCAGTTAGACACTGCTTCGGACATCACGAAAATCTCCGAGAAAGTCTGGCGATCCTTTGGCAAGCCATCACTCAACTCAACCCTTCAATCCGTCATCAGCGCCTGTGGTGGCCACGTGCAGCTAACTGGGGATCTGCAGTGCTTCGTCTCCTTTCGAGGCGTCACATTCAACGGGATCTGCTACATCACAGAGGCGAGACACAACTTGCTTAGTCACGATTGGCTCGATCACCTTGACTTGGCCGATCTACCACTTCGGGCCATTTGCAGCGCCGTGCAATTTCCGACAGTACCAATTGACCAAACGGACGATACCACCACGCGGTTCTCTCAAGTGTTCGAAGATGGTCTTTCGTGTTGTACACGCACTCGGGCCGTGTTACGGCTCACTCCCGGAGCTCAACCGGTATTCCGTCCACAAAGACCGGTCCCTTACGCAGCCTAACTATTAGTCAATGGTGAACTCAAACGATCGGAAGATATGGGTGCCCTGGTACCCATGTACTACTCTCCCTGGGAAGCCCAGGTGGTTGTGATCAATAAACCGAATGGATCCCTCCGTATCTGTGCCGATTTCTCCACTGGTCTCAATGCTGCACTGGAGCTAAACTGCTACCCACTGCCATCTTCAGCCGACCTGTTCACCATGCTCAATGGTGGCAATCGTCACTTCCCAATGAACCGAAGTATCCATCCTTCTGATGTTCAAAGGCGATGGTAGATTGCTTGTGGAATTTTTGTGAGTAATATAATTTCTGTAGAAAGTAGAAGCCACGATTAAACTTCGCTCATCGGGAAGTGACGAGTGAGTGAACCAATCTGCAACACTAGGACAGATATTGTGAGCTCATTGGCAATACGTCGCGAACCAAGCAGAAGTCATGTAATTAATTGCGCACCTGATCGTCAGTCCTCGATAACAGTAGTAGAGCAGCGGACCGGTAATCCGTGGGGCCGGGGTTCGATTCCCCGTCGAGACAGATTATTGCGAGAAGTTTAATCGTGGTTTATACTTTCTAAGAAATTACACTACTCACAAAAAATTCCACAAGCAATATATATATATCCTGATGAACGTTCATTAGTAAACTATGCCACAGGAACTGAAACGACACCCTAAAGAAGGAGGGCACGGAGGTAAGACCCCACTTGGATCGGAGTTCAGTGTGATTGTCAGACTGCAGTGGACAGGATTGGCGCAAACGACACATATCAATAACATTGTGGTGAACAAAAACCCGCATGACGAAAGTGTTCAATCACAGATGTGCCAAATGTGAGGAGCATTCAATTTGGTCCGAGACATTTTTACCACTTTGAAATGCAGTCCTGGAGTGGGTAAGTGTCCTATTATCACGAATGGCCACTATGCTCGTGATGACCACAAAGGGATTAGTTTGCGTCCATGTTTGGTCCAAGACTAGTGGGCGCCATGTCACACTCCGGTGGGTGCTGTGTCGAAAGTTTGTGCTCGCGAGAAATAGACGAGCACCATCACACAAGTGTAGCGACCGCTCACTCTTAGCGTTACGAGAGGCCATACTATGTCGGCCGCGTAGAAGCAGCGCATTAGTGGACAACCTTCCAACTTGGCCATTCAGATCACCAGCCAGCAATATAGTATCCGTACTCTTCCTGCACCGAAGGAACTTGTTCAATTGGTGATAAAAGCCATCTTGCATAGATTCGGCGCGCGCGGGGGACACTGTTAGGTTGTCTAGACCTAGACAGGAGGACGAATAGGGTTCTCAACCAAAGGTTTTGGTTCAAAACCTAACCACAGGGAAGCGGGTTTTCGACACTGGGCTACAGTGAGATTGCGTTAAGGGACCATTCTTCTTTTACATCCGAAGTCTGGCGGACCAATAGACCGAATAAGTCTGACCCCTAATTATTGACCAATCAGTTATGGATGAATCTGAAAGATAGGAAGCACCAGCTGGAATAGTTCAATGGGTCCATGAGACTCGCAAGGTCCAGGCCCATTTGTTCGGAAATGGAAGCTGATCGCCATCCAACTGCATAGTAGGAGGATTTGGAGACAGAGCCGGGCTATAAGACAACCAACCAACAGATCAAGTTTTTGCTACCATCTCCTGCGGCCGTGTGGTCAAAGTCATGGACTCGTAGACGGATTCCAACGCTAAACATAACAGGTGGAATACGTACCGATGATGAATCTCGCATGACGAAGCGGTCCTTCAAAGTTCTCAAGGATTGAAGTGGCGGTTGGGTTGAGTCCAGATGTGATTATGTCTAAAGCCCCCCCCCCCACTAATCCCCTGTACACAATAATCTGCCCAAAATGTTTATAATCCCGTGCATTAATCGGGGGCCTAGGAATAGGAAGCGGTGGCTCGAGGAAAAAGACTGCCATGTTTTGTACACGGTAGTAAGGTGAAAGTGGAGAGCGGATAGAGTGTACAATGCAGCGATAAGTTCGACCCTACTGTACAGTTGTGAAACTTGGCCGCTTAAAGCAGCGGACCTCAAGAGGCTAGTTACGTCCGACCACCGGTGCGTTCACAGTTTGGCTCACATCTGGTGGGAACACCGCGTGAGCAACCAGCGTGTACGACGCCTTGTTTACGGCACAAGAAAAGGAACTGAACCGCTCAGCACCGTTATTTCACGCACCAGGCTCCGATGGCTCGGCCACCTGTTACACATGCCAGTCCACCGACTCCCGCGACGTGTGTTGTTTGCGCTCCGGGTGTGTGGATGGAAGAAGAGGAGGGGTGGCCAAGCGATGACTTGGTCCAGGGGAATGCAGTCCCTCACTTCGGAGCTACCCTCGGTTGGAGCGTCTCGGCTCCCTGGTTGGGGTCCGAAAGACGATGAACACGTTTGGTTGGACACACTTGATGATATGGCTAGGAGCCGACCTTAGTGGCGTTCGTGCTGAGTTTCTTTGTCCCAAGCCATCCCTTCTAGTCTCCCCCTCCAACCACGATCTCATTATTTAGCTTTATAGAATTTCGCATAGTATTTTTTTGATGCACAGTAGCCGGCTGATAGCTTACCTGAACGATGCCCATCCGTTACCCTTAGCTCAGCCGGCTTGCACCTGTTGCATTTTTTTCACTTTTTTCTGTGTATTGCGGCACAGTAGCTGAGGTGTTCCCAACCTCTAGCTAACGTGTATGATGATGATGATGATGGATAGCGCTGCCACATAACTGGTAGGATGGAAGGAAAATTAACAACCAGCTGCAAGAAACCGAATGCGAGAGTGCGCCATGTCTGATAGAGTCCGTAACAACTGATGTGGACCATCCAAATGTCATCATCCACGAGGAGGACACACACACCAACCTGACCAAGTTTCACAGATAGTTTTTTCATGCCTCCATGCCACGTCATGGACTGGCCATCTCGCGGTTTCACCAAACTTAGTGCAAGCACGGCGTATAATGTACGCCGAAGAAGTCGGTCAACAAACATGACCTAGCCGACGTAAGCGATTAGGGTTCAGCAAACACCCCAGTGAGGCAGCAGAAGATTTGCTGCAGAAAATCAAAACTGGCGGATTTCAGCATTGCTCATCCGGTGTTCCCATTATATGTGAACAATATTCCGCAAGCAACACGGCAAAGCGTGTAATGTCGTCAATACGAACTGGTCAGGTCTCTGATCCGAAAAGTAATGCTGGCCTTATTGCAGCGTTATACACCGAAGCTTTCACTGACAAACTGATATCCCGCCATTTTCATGGATGGCTGAGTTTCGGAAATGCCACACGAAGTGGTTTCCTTAGTAATGTGAAAACCGGAAACGATAGTGACATATGGAATGTGCATTGCAGATGGTTTCAGAAAACAGAAAAAGTTGTGCAATGCTTTTCCGCGCGCGTGTGGTAGCTGTCCGATCGAGTTTAGAATGTGATGATTATGGTCTTAATCAATAATCTGCATTGAAGTAGAGGGTGTGAAGACTTTTGGGAAGTGCCACTCAGTGTAGTTTAATGCACCATGAAAAATGAGAAAAAAGAATAACTCACCGATACACTTCCGGCGGAGGGAGAACCAAGGGGATGTCCTGACGTGGTAGATCGCGGATATAACGCTTGAACAGTCTACAACGCACCAACAAGGAAGCAATGCAGCGAACAGGAAGATGGAATAAAACGTTAGCATGTGGAAATAACACCAAAAGGAACGTTTTTGAATACAAATCGGTTTTGTATAGGTTTCTATTGTGACTATGTTTCGCTCTTGATACAAGTTTCGCCAGATCAGATGAAGTAGTACAGCACTTAGTTTGGATTTGTATAAGAAATGAGGATAATGGTAGACGAAAATAAGTCAATGGACACTTGTGGTTCCAGTTCCAAATGGGGTCATTATTCTAGTGGTACAACGAGGATGGAACATTCCCAACTGATCCGTGTCACGGATGCTTCACAAGTAGGGCACTATTGTTCATGTTGCTGTTGATTCTAGTAACGATGGCTCGAAATTTCGCTCCAATCTGAATCTGTCCGTCAAAGCTAATCAGATTGACCGGGTTAAGACAGTCCAGTAGGAGTCTGATAGATACACCGCGTCTATTCTGTTTACGAGGTTATTGGTGTTGGCAATTCCTATCGTCCCAGCAATTAACTTTGGATCAGCCACACTATAACGTAGGCAATTATCAGTCATGCAGGTCAACTGCCGTCAGCCAAGGCTTAGTGGCATAAACTGCTGGCATCAGGAAGTCATGGGGTCGGAACCAGGCAGGGGACCGAGAGACACGCACAACTGACGAGACCCAACGAGTCGAAACGGCTGTCTGGGGCTTATAAAGACTTGTGGAAGCCTGCGTGATAGGAAGATAAGTGCGACGAACTAGATCTAAAAGTACGCCAAAACTCCAAGTACTCATTAGTAATCAAAAAGCTGTCAGTACAACTGCTGAGTGCAGTGTCGTAGTCAATCGCTATGCAGGAAGTCGTAGCTGGGGCCAACAACTGTCTTCTACACGGTTCGTAACTGGCATGGCAGTGAGTACATTGTAGTCAATTGTCACACATGGCTTAGTTGCACAAGCCGCTGTCATCCGGAAGTCATGGGATCGGAAGCAGGCGATGGTCCGAGGAATGCCCAACACTGACCAGACGCAAAAGGTCGAAACGGCCGCCTAGTGCTTTAAAGACGTGTGGGGGTCTGCGACGAACTACACCATTCTTAGTGATCGCTACATTGTCTCAGTCGATTGCGTGTCTCGAGTCTAGCGCAAGTACCGCCACTGCTGAATCTTTTACTAAGGCCTTTTTTATTCAGTTTTGTTTCTCGGTGGACGCGAAACGTGCGTCTTATGTTCTACTATCCTTGTGTACACTTCGCTAGTTGTGTAATCAGCGTACACATTTGCATAGTCTTTGCAACTATTTTTTAGGCGCAATTGGCAGTCCAATCTCTTCTCGAAAGTTGATCCTTTAAACGCATCAGTGGGGAACGCAACGATTGAGCTTTTTGGAAAATCAGCCTCATCTTCTCCTTGTTTAATGACCGCCGAATCGCTTCAGAAGTTCCCTTTTTATAAGGGGTTCCGCCTTTCCAATTCACTCATACGTACATCAGGAAAGTGTGTTTAAGGTTAGAGGTAACTGATATTGCACTAACCGCCTCGGATATCCACTTTCTATTAGTCTATAAATTACCTCCTTCCGAGCGGTCCCACTGTCCTCTTCCTCTGTGCACAGAGTCTGAGCTGTGTGAAACAGAGAGGATGTAATCGCAATAGGTGTGCGTTAGATGACCCGAACTATGATGGAATACTATACGTATCTGCTGGTTTGTAAAATTTTTTTGTGTTTAGCCTTTGTCTGTTCCTATGAAGTAGGCAATCAAGCGATAACAATGCACCATTGGTTGATTCTAGTTTCAAGAGTTTAATTAGAGTAGAAACTCCTCCTTCTTATCTCACGTAGCGAGACGAACTACTGGAGTTTATCAAAGGCCTCGTTTCAAAGTTTTCCGGGTACAGATTGACCTTTAAGGGAGATATTGTCGACCCCATGGTAACGCTCATTTCCTGAGGGTACAACCGCAACTGGAACGTGAAATTTGACTTTCATTCCTTCCGTTATTTGGTCTAATTTGAGTTTTTTCTTTTCCCCCAGGCTACTGTCCCCGTTCAGACAGCAATGAGCTATCCCCAATGCGTCACCCTTGGGTACGTTAGTGAATGGTGTGCCGTTGAACCTGACTATTATTTCACCTGAATCGATGGTTAGACCTGTTCTCCTCTCGCGTGAACTCATAAAAGCTTTATTCTCCCTATTAGGGATTTCAACAAAACAACCAAACACCTTGCTAGTTCGTGGGTCGGAAAATCGATACCATCCACAATGGGAAGCATGGGACGTCGGGCTTAGGTAGCTTCCGTTGACCGTAGTTCCTCGGCGGGAGAGTTGACGTGGAATATAGGCTGTGCTAGCGACTCAGCCCTAGGTAGTTCTTTTTCCTCCTGAGGTAGTTGCTAACCTCAGCCTGTCTCAGTCATTAACTGTGGATGCAGTTTTCTTCCTAATCCCTGTGGCTAAATGCTCCTCCACATATAGTCTTGCCCATACGGGATTTTGTGGTGAGGATAGTAGGATCTTTTCAGTGCACTGAAGATGTTGCCTAGTTTGGTAACGAAACGTCTGCAACAAAAATGCCCGGCTCGGAGAACAGGAAAATCCGCTCACCATGATGACGATTGGAAAATCCGATTGCTGGAACTTGGAACAGCAGAGCACTCCAGGTATGTCAACTTTGTTTTGCCTAAGAACGCTCGAGACTGCACTTTTGAGGAGCTATCAAATGCTCGGGCCACATATTTGGAGAGCAGTCATTCATCTTCAACACACGATATCAATGCCTGAAGATCACCAAGATGGACGCTAATGACTACGTCACTTACACTGGCATCGTCAATCGCGAGTGCGAGAAATTCGACATCAAATCTATCACGGCAGATCAGTTCAAATGCCTGATTTTTATCTGTGGCCTACATTCTCCACGGGATGCAGAGATTCGCACCAGGCTGCTAAGTAAACTTGAACCAGACCAGCAAATGATTCTACAGACCATAACCACTGAATGCCAACGATTACTGAACCTCAAACGTGACACGCTTATGCCGGAGAAGCAACACACAATCCCAAGTCTTAGCGTATTAAAATACCCCTCAGAGAAACCGCTTGCAAGTGAAACAGGCCATGAAAAGCCCAGAGAGAATCCCAAGCCCCCGACTGTATGTTGGAGATGTGGTGAGTGACATTTTGTTCGAGTGTGTCCATTTCTGAAACATGTTTGTCACAAGTGGCATAAACGGGGCCATAAGGAAACGCACTGCCGATCCAGACTACAGTTCAAGTGCGCTAGACATGCACGACCGAATTCAAATTTTCCCAAAAGATTCAGCATCTATAGTACGGTTCAAGCGGCCTACTCTGATTAACATGTGGCTCGCAGAAAGTACATCAGAGTTCATCTGAACGGGCAACAAGTGCGTCTTAAGCTAGATACAGCCTCGGGCATCACAATTATCTCCAGCGAAACTTGGCAGTATATTGGTGCTCTGTCAATCAGGCGAACGACACTTGTTGCACTTAACGCTTCAGGAGGTCAACTTAATTTCATTGGGGAGCTGTAGTGTGAATTGGTTTTTGGCGCTTCTCGGGCAAACGGTGTCGTGTACATTACGGGGCTGTCACATTTGAATCTGCTTGGACTCAACTGGATCCAGAAGCTCCACCTGTTCGAAGCTCCACCATGTTCCCCTTAGTTAAATCTGCAATACCCTCTGGCTCGGATATACGAGGTCTTCTTCGGAAGATGACGAACCGAACAACAACCTGATCGAGCAGCTACGAAGGAAATTCCCGTCTGTGTTTCGCAACGACTTGGGAAGATGCACAAAGACTAAAGCAAGCCTTACTCTCAAAGACGGTGCCAAACACGTATTCCGACCCAGAAGGCCGGTACCATACGCTGCGCTTCCGATTGCTGATGCGAAGCTTGGTCGTTTGAAGCAGGCCGGCGTCATCCAACCTGTGAAGTATTCAGCGTGGGCAGCACCTATTGTTGTCGTCAAGATGACCAATGGAACCGTTCGTATCTGTGCTGACTACTCTACGGGATTGAATGCTGCTTTTAAAATACACCAGTACCCTTTGCCAGTCCCAGAAGATTTATTTGTTAAGCTCAGTGGTCGCGCTTACTTTGCAAAGCTAGATTTATCAGATGCTTATCTTCAAAATGAAGCCGACGATGCTTCAAAGGAGTTGCTGGGAATCAATACGTATCGAGCTATTTAGCAGTTCGACCATTTGCCGTTTGGTGTCAAATCAGCTCCCGCGATTTTTCAATAAATTATGGATACGATGTTAGATGGGTTATCAGGAGTCGCAGCTTACTTGGACGACATCATAATCAAAGGTGTTACCTTTCGAGAGCTGACGAAAAGACTGGAATCAGTTCTCAACAACGTTAATGATTACGGTTTTCACTTGAAAGCAGAAAAGTGCAAAACCGGCATGAAGTGTGTAAAGTATCTTGGCTTCATCATCCACAAGGATGGCCGTCGTCCGGATCCTTCCAACATAAGTGCAATAAAACAGATGCCTCCTCCTGACAATGTCACGAAGCTCAGATCATTCTTGGGGTTCATCAGTCATCACAGCTCATTTGTGCCCGAAATGCATCGGCTACGAGGACCGCTCAATGAATTTCTTGCAAAGAATCGCAAATTTGTGTGGTCTCCTGAATGTCAAGCCTCATTTGAAATGTCAAGTCTATATTGTGTTCTGACCTATTGCTAACGCATTTCAATTCGGAGCTAAAGATCATAGTTGCTGCTGACGCGTCAGACTACGGAATTGGAGCAGTCATATCCCACATTTTCCCTAATCGTTAGGAGAAAGTTGTGGCACATGCAGCCAGATCACTCACCCCAGCAGAACGCAACTATGGGCAGATCGAGAAAGAAGCTTTGGCTACAGTGTTTGCAGTCAAGTGATTTCACAAAATGCTCTATGGACGAAAATTCATGCTGTTCACTGACCACAAACCCTTAGTCGCAATCTTTGGATCAAAGAAAGGC